TTTCTTCTTCTTCTTCGTTTTGAACACAAGAGAAGAGAAACAGAGGTGAGAGAGAGAAACAGAGGCGAGAGAGAGTCGTCGCAGCTCGTCGCTCGTCGGCCGATCGTCGTAGCTCGTCGGCCGATCGTCGCATCGCAGCCCCGCCTCTGCCTCTGCCTCTGCCCGCCTCCGCCTCTGCTTCTGCCTCCAGCCAGATTTTGATGGTCCCTCCAGTTCTGCTTCTGCTTCTTCTTCTTCTTTTTCTTCTTCTTCTTCTTCCTTCTCTTCTCCTTCTTCTTCCTTCTCAAATTCGAGCCAAATTCGAGTCGGGGCTTTCGGGCTCTGTAGCAGGACTGTACAGCAAAAATAGAAAGCAATTAGTAAGACTCAATATTAAGGTGAGTTATATTATACATTGAGTCACCACAGTATATTTTACGTATATTTTGACTTACCATAATTTATTTTATACAAGTTAGGTTTTATAAAATATATTAATATTTCAATTACGTGGGTTATTTTTTAAACTCTATTTGTTTAAAATGAAACCTATGGATATGTTTGTTTAAATTTTAGTATACATTTGACTATGACCTTATAAACAATTATATTTTGTAAGTACCACCACGAGAGTTCCACGCCTTGGGGGACTTAAATAACCATTGACCTCTGTTTGGCCACTTTGTGGTCCTCTGTTTGTTATGGATCCATTGACCTCTGTTCTAATTGTCACTTCTATAACCTCTGTTCTGTTCAGTACCGTGGTTATGGTTATTAATTTACATAATTTTTGTATTTCAGTTTCTGCCATTTAAATGATTTATTTACCAAATTGAGTTATGTAAATATTTTGGCCTAACTAACTATCCATGGTTATTTTGTATTCCCTATACTCTTGGCATAATATTTCTCACTCTGCTGTGTGCTTATAGCTGTTACCATTTCACGTGACAAGATGTAGGGAGAACCCATAACCTCACGTAATGGAACCCGCACAAGGATTGATGTTGAACTACTATTTTGTCTTTCTTTTCTTTTTTTTTTTTTTTTTTTATATATATTTTTGCTCCCTTTTGTCTCTACTCGGGGCCGGTCCCTGAATAATAAATTAATAAATGCCTTATAGATGTATTTTCTCTTATTAAAATAGTAAAATGGATTAATTTCCTATTTAATTATTTTTATTTCCGCTTGCGCAATTTAATTTGCTACGAATAGAATAAGTTAGCAAGTTGCGATTCCAACCCTAAGCCCTGGGGTTGGGTCGTGACAATGTTGCTATTGTGGAACTAATATAGCGTTATGTTTATATTTTTATGAAATTAAACTATTATATATATATATATGTTATTTAATTATGTGAATCCGTGGTCCTAAACCGATCCAATCTGTATTTAAATGGATTGGTTCCATGATTTAAATGGATTGGATTGGATTTGTTCTAATTTTTCAGGAATAGTAGAAAACGGATTGATCCTGATATTAACCAAATCCAGACCATGCTTACCCCTAATGAAAATGCCTTTACAAATGGAGCCTTAGATCATAGATTTAGCTAAAAATTTAAAAAGAAAAAGGACAAAAGATAAAAATAATGAGAATGAAATATAAGTTAAGTCTTTTTTTCTTTTCTTTTTTTTCTCTCTTTTTTTTTATTATTCCTGTGTAAATTCTAATGCAAAGAAAGTGTTAAAAGAGTAAAAATTCAGGAGGGCTCTTGCTTGTTGGTTGTCGGTAGGTACTGCACATGGACAATGTGTTAAATTGTCTAACCCCCTCACCCGATTTTGCTGCACTTTCATTTATTCACTCATTCACAATAACTTCTCTAATTGTAGGTAAACAGTGCATATAATATGCAGTCACGAAAGTCATGCAACCATTCAAAGCTTTGAGACTTTTTTTTGTTTTTTTTGAAGACATTATATTAACTACCCAATTTGATCGATCTACTTCTCTCGAAGAATTTGTTGTCACTACTGTGTTATGGGTCGTAAAATTTTAATGTGAATGGGATAGCCGTTTGAGTTTTGCCACAACCAAGGACGGAATGTACATATGTGTACAATTTGTATTTCTCTCGTGAAAATGCTCATTTTGTTTTTCAAATATTAAAGTTTCATAAATTTTTATAGCATTTTTGTAATTATCTTGTTGATATCTATGGAGTAAGATTTATGTTTTCTATAAATATTTTAAATAAACTAAGTTTAAGAAAATTTCATTATCTTAAAATTAGCTTGAACAATAAAATTTTACTATATGAATTTTAGTAGTGTTCAAATTAGCCAATAAACTGAAGAACCGAACCAAATCAATCTCTTTGGGTTGGTTTGGTTTTTGAGTGCATTGGTTTAGTTTTGGATTTTCAGACCATCAAACCGATAGAATTAGTTTGGTTCTTGGTTTAAGTATTACGTAAACTGAACCTATATATATGTATATATATTTTAAAATTTTATTTATATTGACATGTTTTCACCTTATTGCTATTGTTAGTAAAAATTATGCTAAGTCTTGATTGACAGAGACTTAACAACAATTTTAACCAAACAACCAAATAGAAAATCAGATGACTGTGCAAAGGTTCTAAACTGCATTGAAAGTACAATGACTTCTTTGGAACAATTAACAATCGAAAGCGTGAAGTATCCAAATAAACAAAGACAACTCCAAATAAATTATCTAAGTTTACAAGAACTACAAGTCACAAATTACAAAGAAAACGACTCATAAAAATTAAGATAATGTACTCCTAAAAATAAAGAAAAAACTCTAATGAATTTGATGATTTCTTGATCCCTTGCTTACTCTTATTCCTTCTTCAGCCTATTTTTAGGCTTGACATTGCCACAAACTGTTGCTAACCATGCTGTCACAAACTGCTCCACCATAATAACATGTTGCTGCCGTTGCCACAAACTGCTGATTAGAATTATGGTTTCACTATTTAACTGTTTGGGTGTGCATTAATATAGTGAAACCATAATTCTAACCCCGAAACCAACCCAAGCTACATTGGATTAGGTTGGGTTGATTTAGTGCATGATTTGTTTAGTTCTAAATGTAAAAATTAAGAAGGATTATGATTAGATTAATGCCAAATTTAATGTCACACCAAACCAAAACCAACCTATGAACATTAATGAATTTAACAGTTAAATAGTGAAAGCATACCGCCAATACCATCTCAAACCACTGCACATACCATAACTTTTACGGTGGTTCTACATACACTAATTAGTATATACATTAGTGTACCAACTAATGTTATGATATTATTATTGACCATATTTATTGTACAAGTTACAAATACCCAAAACCATATAAATGATATCGCATCATCTATCAGTACACTAGTGTGTATATTAATTAATATATATAGCATTATTCTAACTCTTATTGTCGCTAGCAAAAATATTAACCACAGTGGATCTCAAAAAAATTATAAGTAAGGTAAATCAGTCTCAAGAAAAAAATTATAAATATGGGAAATGTGGACCTTATCCATTAAAATTCAAAAATAGAGGAGCTTATTAATTAAAAACTGTTAAGGAGTCTTTTCCCCATTGAAAAACTATAGTGAGGAATTTTTGAATTTTTGATCAAATTTCTCATAAAATTTTATCGACAATGCTTTCATCTTTGTCTTCTTTTTTGGTAAATTAAAAATGAATTTTTTTTTTTGGGTAAATATTAGTTTTGTTTTTTAAAAAAGTGGAATAAATTCCAAAACTTTTAAATTTTTTGAAACAAAAAAAGTATGTTTTCATTTATTTTTAAAATAAGTTTTCACTCATTACTCCTTCTACCAGACATCTCTGGCAAGCCTCTTGCAATCTTTGATGGTGATCCGGTGAGCTCCGGCAATCGGCCAACCACCCCTCTGATCTCCAGCCACCTTTGCCGCTAGCCACCGCATTCGGAAACTTACCAAACATGTTTCTTCGGTTTGAAATGCCCAATGGCATCCTTCAATTCTTGACAAATGGATGCATTAGTCTTGGAACTAGGTATGGGCCTTATTTGGGCCACCTACTTGGCACAGTTGGATATTAATGGTACTTGGACTTTGTATATATCTCTATAGCCCTTAAATATTTGGATATTAATGGTACTTGGACTTTGTATATATCTCTATAGTCCTTATATATTTGATGAATTTTTTAATTTCCAAAAACCTTTTTTGGGTACTGTGATAAAAACTTCATACTTACATTGTGTTTGAATTATAAATTTGAAAAAAATTTACAAAAAAAAAAGAAAAATGAAGAAAAAAAAATTAGTTTACCCTTTATTTACGTTTCTCTCACAGTTTTCCTTTCCGATTCTCTTTTCAAATTTCTATTCAAATTTATGAGCAAAATACAATTTCAAATATAATTCTGCCATTGTAACATGTAAATTAGTGTTTCAATATATAGTTAAAAAAATAAAAAATAAAAAAACTTTAAGGCTGTGTTTGGGTTCTAAGGTCAAGCCCATTGAACAATTGGGCTTCATATTGGGGTTGAGACACCAATTCACTCTAGTTCATTAACTGCGTGAAGGCTGCAGCCCTACAATTAATAGGCCCCTAACTAACACAGTGCCAACCAAGGAAGGTAGAGCATGGTTTGGTTTACTATTCAACCATAATTTTTGAAGGGGAAGTTGATGTAATAGGTGGGCTATGAAGCTATCGTGACATGTGTACATGATGTTTCTAATTATAGAGGTGGCGTAAAAGGAATGGACTAGATTGATCTTATTTTTATCTTACTGAGCACGGTGATTAAATTAGCTCTACTCATTTTGTGATGATTACTCTTACCAATATGAGAGCACCATTTTTGGATGAACTTAGCACAATAACATAGTACTTTTGGATTGATAAGAACAATAGTCACAAAATAAATGGAGTTGATCTAAATAATCTTAGTCGATAGAATAGGAAATAAGATTAATCTCATCCATCTCATTTGTGTGACCTATGTAATTGAGAGTATCATATACACATGCTACGATAATGCTCCCAAACTACTCAATAACCACGCAAGGATACAATTAAGCAACAAACCACATACATGTAGTTGGAGATCAGCTTGGGCTATGCTATACACGCAATAATTATACAGAAATCTCAAATACAAGTAGAGACAACCATGGCATGATCATATTAGAAAATCCATTAACAAACCCCCCAAAAAAACATATTTAACACAAAAGTTTCATTAACAAAAGGTTCAATTACAACTAGTTCTTCACCTCAATCCCCCACATATCCAAAACCCATTTCACTCAGACCTCATCTTATTGAGCTGGTTCAAAGCTGGCTGTAAAATATTATAAAGAACCCAAAGAATAGCAGGAGAAATGACAAACAACAGGAGCTGCCCCCTATTGTCACTTGAAGCCTGTGCTGCTGCCATCGCATGAGGGGTTGACATGAACCCTGAGGCAGCAGCCAACCCACCTATCCCACCAAGCCCAATGATGACCCCCCTAATGCTCCTCATTTTGTTGACCTGGTTCAAAGCTGGTTGAAGGATGTTGAAGAGAACCCAAGCAATGGCTGGAATGATTGGCAGGAGGAGTGCTAGGCCCCGGTTATCGCCCTCAGCGATGTCGGCAATTTGTTGGGCTGCCATGGCTGGATCACATGAGGTTAGGGTTGCGAAAATGGCTCCAGCGAGGGCAGTGCTGGATAGGGGTGATGGGTTAGAGATGGTGAGGCCTTTTGGGAGGTTTTGGATGGAGAGGAGGGAGGTGCAGGTGGTGGTGGTGGGTAGTTTTGTTGTTGGCTTAGATGGGTTGTGGGTTTTAGGGGTGGTGAAGCACTTGGCATTGAGCATGGCCATCGTTGCTATAGTTGCTGCCATTGGTGTCGTGTGTTCTTGTTGAGCTTAGTTTTAGCTTATTCTGTAGGTGGGATTGGAAGGCTTGTGAGATGAGAGAAAAGCTTAGGAGAGAGAATAGCTTCAAGGGTTGGCTGTGATGGAAAAATGCGATCCAATAGAATTGTGATATGTGGATTGCTTCTCTTATCCAAAGTGCTATTGGTGAGATATGGACCTCATATTTCATCCCCCAACAAAGCTTCTTATCACTTCATCACCACTTAGTATTTTTATCCCTCTCCCAATTAAGCAACGAATTCTCAATATTACTTATTTGTCTTCAAGGATTTCCTAGAGACCACTTCAATAGACAAACTTTTAATTGATAGAGTTCTAAATTTGAAAATTACAAAATCTTTTTAAAAATTTCGAGTAAAAATTTGAGTATTCCTAAATTTTGGGGGGAAAAAAATGGATAAAACTTAATTTGATACAAATTTGAGTTGAGGAGTCGAGAATTTTAAGTGATTTTTGTCCAAATTTAAATGTAATGTAAGTTTGAATCAAGGGGTAGAGATGTCCATAGTGAATCTAGACCATCTAGAGTAGAAATAGTGAGATAATCACTTGTTTTTATTTTGGAAATGTTAGAATAATAACTCACTAGTTGACCTTATAGTAAAGTTTGTCATTAATATAAAAAAATTAGAATTACTTTATACAAAAAAAATTGGGTAAATTACAAACACATCCCCTGAGATTTACGTAAATTACAAATTATCCCCTGTGATTTTGGAAATTACATTATGTCTCCTAAGATTTTTAATGAAAAATGCTTCGGACCCCCACTGGGGGTCGACCCCCAGTGAGGTGGCGCGTCGTGATTGGACAAAAAAAAAAACTGTTTTATTTTATTTATTTATTTTTTTTGAGTTTCAGCTAGTGAGGGCTCGCCACCTCACTAGGGGTGCGACCCCCACTGGGGGTCTGCAGCATAGTTGATTTTTAATAAATTATCAAGTTAATTAATAGTTTTTAATAATATTAAAATTTTATTTCAATTAATAATTTAGATAATTTTATTATTGTATAGGTGAACAGTCAGAAATTTCATTTTTTTAATTAATTCTGTTAAATAAAAAATTATGACATGGAGGTATTTGTAATTTTTTAAACCATAGGGGTAATTTGTATTTTAAGCAAACCTCAGGAGGTGTATTTGTAATTTATCCAAAAAAATTAGGTGCATAAAGAAAATCAAATATTGAATGAATGTGAGATAAAATATTTACAATTATAAATACAAACATGTTTACAACTATAGATGAGAATAATTTTTATTTCACATTTGTGTATTTTGTATCGCATTCTTTTATGTACACATAACACAACTGTACCATATAAAAAAATTCAATGAGAATGAGAATAAGAATATTTGAAGTATGCCAACAAAGCTTTATGAAGTCATCCAATCCATGTAAGTTATGAGCCGGGATGGATGGTCCAATCCCACCCTCATCCATGGGCTAATCATATAAACACTGTATGAGTGTGCGTGGGGTGCTCACTTCTCTCTCATTTCTATTCCCGTACCTCTTGTAAAATCAAGGGTAATTTACATCATTGGCCTCTTTGATTTGAGTAAAATTTCACTTGCAATCTCTGTAATTTTAATTTTATTTATTTAAATACTAAATTTTCAATTTCATTTTAATGTAATCTCTTTCAATTGGTGCTAACATTTTAAACAAGAAATAACTTGGATGAAACTAAAAAGACTAAAGTAAAATTTGTAAAAAAAAAAATAAGTCACTGACGTAATTTATTTATTTTTCTTTCTTGTGTAGGAATTGATAAATTTTTCAGGTGAATTGCATATGGCTTAATCTGTTCAAAATGCTAAGGTGCCGTTTGGTAACACTTACGTTTTCAGTTTTCTGTTTATATTTATAAAAATTTTAAAAACTCAATAAAAACTTGTTTGGTAAAATTTTTGATTTATAAATCAGTGGTCTCAGTTCATAAATTTGGCCAAAAAATGTGTTTCTATTTTGAGTTTTCAAATTTTTTTTTTTTACCACCCAACACTAGCCACCACCCGCCACCATTTTCCACCACCGTCTTCCGCCACCACCACCCACCCAACAATCAGTTTTAACTTCCAACCAGCATTACAAGGAAAGCATGCCAAGTGGCATGGCAGTTGACACCCCCAACTGCCTAGGGACTTAGGAACATTTCTGGAGCATAACTGCTCTTAACTGCTGCTATGTTTCAGCCTTCATTCCAGATGTCCAGACTTGCCTTGTCTTTGCCCATCATGGGTAACTGCTGCAAACTGACATGCATAACTGCTAGGAACTGCCATGTTGTTTGCCTCATCAAGTCAGCCACGAATTTGGTTGCCTTGGCCTCCAGACCAAGTTCTGCCCACTGATTGTTTTGAACCCCCAAGCATGCTGCAGCCCACATTCGGGTCATGTTAATGCCTTGCATCTGTGCAACGGCTGCACATACTTTGGCCAAGGGTTGTGCTGCTGCCTCAGCACTTGGACAACATTTTACCTTGCTGTCTTGGCATGCCTCCATCATGCCTTGGTCTTGGTTGGTCATGGGCACAAGGTGCTGCCAATGCCAACCATGCAGCCTTCAAGTTGAAGGTGCTAACAAACCACCCCCACCAGAAGAAGCCGACGTCCTCGTCGGTAAAGCCTCTAAGTAGTCCGTAATTTGCTTCTCAAACTGCCATAGAGTCACATCTTTTTCCCAACTTGCATCTGCTTCGGGAGAACCCTTCCACTTAACCAAGTAATGAGTTCTTCGATTTTTCTTGCTTTGTCCCTCTGTTTTGTGATCCAAAATCTGTTCCACCTCTTTGTCAAACTGTTTTCTGATCACCGGAGGGGCGCGTCGAGCTTGCGTCCGTGTTAGGTTAGCCTGATCCTCGTTATAAGGTTTCAGGTAGCTAACATGGATTGTTGGGTGTATCTTCAACCGATCAGGCAGTTTCAGCCTGTAAGCAACATTTCCCACACGTTTTAGAATTTCAAAGGGTCCATCATATTTTGGAACTAAGCCGCGGTGCGCTGTCTTGCTACTTATCTTTTTCCAAATCTGTGGAGTAAGCTTCAGCAACACCTTGTCTCCCACTTTGAATTCCAAGGGTCTTCGCCCTTTGTCAGCATACTTTTTCATCCGCTTGCTTGCCTTAGCCAAACTATCTTGTGCTTCATCTAGCATGTCTTGTTTAGCTCTTGCAAACCGGTATGCTGCGGGACATCTACCTCCTGATCCAGTCCTTGCCACTTCATGCGGAGTGAGGGGCTGTTGCCCCGTGGCTAATTCAAATGGACTCATTCCTGTAGCAGATGACCGATGCAGATTATAACAAAACTGTGCGCTATCCAACAGGTCAACCCAATTCCTCTGACTTGCAGTCACATAATGTCGGAGGTATTCTTCCAGCAATGCATTCATTCTCTCGGTCTGTCCATCCGTCTGAGGATGATTTGCTGTAGAAAACTTTAATTCGGATCCCATCAAGTTAAATAGCACAGTCCAAAACCGTCCCGTAAAACGGGTATCCCTGTCGCTAACAATATCCTCGGGCAAACCAAAGTATTTTACCACATACTTATAAAAGAGGTCTGCCGCAACATCCGCGGGACAAGCATGAGGAGCAGGGATAAATACAGCATATTTAGAGAAACGATCAACAACAACCATAACAGAACGCATACCGTTCACCTTTGGCAACCCGGATATGAAGTCCATGGAAACAGACACCCATGGCTTCGTTGGAATAGGCAACGGCTGCAGCAATCCAGCGGCCTTCTTTCTTTCTGTCTTGTCCAATTGGCACACTAGGCAAGTTTTGACGTAGGCTTCTACATCATCCTCCATTTTTGGCCAGCAGTAGGAACGAGACAGTAAAGCCATCATGCGTTGTTGTCCGGGATGACCCGCCCATTGCGGATCATGAGTTTCTCTGAGCAATTCCAATCTTAGTCCACCAACACTAGGGACATATAGTCTATCTCCTTTGCCGTGGAGTAGATCATTTTCCAGCCAATAGCGACGCACAGTGCCATCTTTCACTTGCTGAACCAGCCTTTGATATTCAGAATCAATTGCAGCACTTGCCCGAATTCTTTCCAACAGTTGAGTCTCAATGTTCGTTATCGCAGCAACGTAGTCCACAATTTCCTTCCGACTTAAAGCATCAGCAACCTGGTTGTGGCGTCCAGGTTTGTGTCGCCATTCGAAGTCATACTCCTCCAGGAACTCTTGCCATCTGGCCTGCCTTGGAGACAACTTCTTTTGTGTTTTGAAGAAGGTATTTGCCACATTGTCCGTCAATACCATGAATTTGGTTCCCAGCAGGTACACTCTCCAAATCTGCAGACAATGCACAACTGCTGTCATTTCCTTTTCATGGGCAGAATACTTCTTCTCCGCATCATTCAGCTTCCGACTTTCGAACGCAACCGGGTGCCCCTCTTGCACCAGCACACCGCCAATAGCCTTATCAGAGGCATCAGTGTGTAATTCGAATGGAAGTTCAAAATCAGGTAACCGCAAAACCGGTTCACTTGCAACAGCCACTTTCAATTTGTCAAAGGCCGCTTGACAACTTTCATCCCACTTCCAGGGTCTGTCTTTCTTGAGCAAATCTGTTAGAGGTGCTGCCTTCTTTGAGTATCCCTCAATGAATTTTCTATAATAGTTGGCTAAACCCAAAAAGGAACGCAACTCAGTCACTTTGCTTGGTGCTTGCCAATCCGTGATTGCATGCACCTTTCTGTTGTCCATCTTTACATGGCCTTTACAAATTACATGCCCTAAGAACTTAATCTCCCGTTGGGCAAACTCGCATTTTTCCTTCTTGACATACAACTGGTGTTCTCGTAACCGAGAGAACACCTTCCGAAGATGGGACAAGTGATCCTCTAGGGACTCACTATATATTACAATGTCATCCAAATAAACGACAACGAACTGATCGACATAATCATTAAATACGTCATTCATAAGATTACAGAATGTAGCCGGGGCATTTGTTAACCCAAACGGCATTACTAGGAACTCAAAAGACCCATACCTTGTAACACAGGTGGTCTTTGACTCGTCTCCTTCAGCCACTCGAACTTGCCAATAACCAGCACGTAAATCCAAT